GATGCTAAACTGTATGGTTATAGGCCACCGTGTACAATGATGATTCATTATAATGCACATCATCATCTGCTTCCACTGACACTCAGCGGGCCGTCATGAAGATGACGAGTGACTCAGATAGGGTCTGCTGATGATCGTTGATCAAAGTGCTCTGACATGCTTTAACAAGGTTTCTATTTCTTCCCTTGAATCGTATCCTAGCTTCTATTTTAAGAGCCCTTTCTGTGAACCTCGACGCCAAGCCTCAGATGATGGAGCTTCTTCTTTTCACCGCTGTGAATCAGGAATAGAAAGCAGTATAATTAGAATATCTCGTATAATTATCGTGTCTCTGCTTGTGACTCTTTGACACCTGGTGTTAGTGAGTTAGATCTTCTTCAGGTGAGCTGACTCTTCTCTAAGCATTACTGGAACCACCGTCGTTAAAACATCAAGTGATTCATGATGTCAAAAAACAAATCCACACTTATCAGTATCGTTGTTTTTCTAGAAATTTAAACACTAGGGGAGACCGGGAGCGATTGTAACACTCTTAATTCCTCCAATAAGAAACGAACAAGTGATGCAATTACTCTGCACATGCTCAGAAGACTTTTCCCTCTGCCTCTGAAAATGAGCAGGATCAATTCATCATGGCAACATTTCTGAGCAAAAAAATGATTTTGATGTATCCTGAATCATAGTGGGTCTCAGTATTTTTCTACTATACTCTCAAGTTATCACGACTGTGAATTTAAATTAAAGATCAATTTTAAGATCATAAACAAACTTACTTGGTGTATATAGATCATTTCTCTTTCTTGGAGGGGTTGGATTTTTTTTGCAACTCTTCTATTATGATTACATTAAGGATAAGAGTGGCTGATTAGACAGACAGGTGGGCGTGTTGTAATTGTTTGTCAGGATGCTTAAGGTCCCCCTTAGCGCCACCTCTTCGTCTGTTAATCGATTGATGGAAAGTTAGGAAGAGTCAACGTTCCTAACATGGTGTCTGCCATCGTTCAGCTTCAAAACGTCTCACTAAAAACACCAATGTGTGACTGAATCAACGTCCATGTTTCATACAGTCTATGATTTTTTTTATCAGTACTCGACAAAATTTGGCCTGTACCCTTCAAAATAAAGTGTTTGGTAACCAACCAAGTATTCACTTCAGCCAATCTTCATAACAGCATTACTGTCTTTAACCCTTTCAGATACACGTAAGAATTTAAGCTAAATTGATTTGTGTTTTGACACTTTTTTTTTTTTTTTTACAAAAAACATGCTGTCAAACCAACATTTGTGTTAAGATTTCAGTTTTTTTTTACTTCAACAGAGACAAATTATTCATTTTATTTCATTTTTGTCAAAATTTGATCTTTATTTAACCAGGAAAACCTCAAAGACATGAAATAACAAATATTTGTCACGATTGCCCAACAGATGTCTTGCACAACAGCCAGACGTGTCTGCTTCCAAGTCATTTAACATCCTCTTAAATCATCCAATCAGAGAAGCTCATTAAGTGCCAGGTCTTTCATCTGTCTTAATAAAGAGAGCAGCAGACTTAACAACCTTTTTCCCACTTCTGACCTTTGCAGCAGACAATCAGAAAAGTTCCTGGGACTGATGGTTAAAAATGAAAAACATCTCTTCTGACCCAAAAAAAAGACTAAATAAGAATAGAACAATGTGAAAGTCTACATGTGGACAAAGAGAACCGTCCAACATGCATTTACAGCAAACAATGATGAGTGAAGGCTTTAAAATTAGTGATCTATGTTACGTGATACAAAGTATGCAGAGCATGTTTTGTCTTTTTTAAGCATTTATTATGAGGCTTTGTATGTCTTTATTTGAGAGACAGGACAGTAGATAGAAATCAGTGTTAGAGTAAGAGGAAAATGCAATGCGGGAAAGGAGCCACAGGCCAGAGTCGAACCCGGGCCACCCACTTTGAGGACTGCAGCCTCGCAAACATACCAGGCCTTTTACATTCAAAAGGATGGTGGTATTTGATTCTGAAATAAAATACAGTTCAAGTCGTTTTACTTACTCCTGAATTTTATTTGCAAAGAACATTGATTACTTAAGCTTTAGGATCTCAAAAGAACCTTTCTAACAAAATGATCGCATGTAGATGTGTTTAAATCCAAGGTTTTGAGTCATAGCTCTCCAACATTCTGCTTGGTTGAAACACGTCTTGTTAAATATGAGCCCAGCCGTGAACTTTTATGCGCAATGTTGGCCTTAAAAAGATATACTGAGTACATTTAAGGACAGGACATTCAGTGCAGTAGTAAGACGTAGATGAAAGAGAGAATGAACATGAACGTTGATCAAACAGGGAAGGAGGTTGCTAGGAAACTGTGATTTAACAAGAAGGAGGATTTGACACTGAGGGGATGTCACTGGTGCTCAGAGAGGAGAAACACTGACATAAGACACTTTTCAAACTGCTTCTATAAGGCCGCTCTGCAGTCAGTCTTATTTGAATGTGAAACAGTTCTGAATTCACCCGAGAGTTTGTTTTTTTTTTCAGCTCATTGTCGGATGCAGCAGGTACACACACACACACACACACACACACACACATAGTTGACTGTTTTTTGGACTGAAACACTTCCAAGACTTTTGTGACTTTTTGTGTCTCCATTATTAAGGAGTATAAGACTTTAATCTGTAAAAGTAAGAAAATTCTCCTCTTTTCTTCAAATAACATCTTCGCCTCAGGCTTGTCTTCTGAACACATGCTTCAGTGAAAGGAAAACAACTAAAAAGAAAACTGTTGTCTAAAGTTCATACCTTCTGACCTTCATCAGTCAGACGAGTACAGGGACTTAAAACCTTAGATCCCAGGACCTTTGACCAAAAGTCAGAACTGAATTTATGAAAAAGGCGTTTGAGTTTTCTGCTCCCTTTACTTGGAACAAATTAAAAAAAGGCCTGAAACTTAACAAACTTCTCTCATTGGATGATTTTAAGAGCATGTTAAATGATTTGAAGGGCTGTAAATCTGGCATCTGGCTGTAGATGTTCTCCCTGATGTGTCCGTGGAGGATTTTGACAAATATTTGTGTCTTTTAATGGCGTATGATGTATTTTATATATTTGAATGTTTGGCTGCTCGTTTTTTTTGTGTTGAACTCTGTTAATTGTGCTGCTGCCTGTCTCGGCCGGGACACTCTTGAAGAAGAGATTTTGAATCTCAATGAATTTTCTTTCCTGGTTAAATAAAGAAATAAAATAATGAAGGATTAACTCCTTGGTCTATGTCTCGATTTGATTGCTGCCTGAGAAATTTTGCAAAATCTTGCATGTTGTTGCTTTTAGAAGCATGGGAATCCTTTAAAGATTTGTACTTTTTCTTGGATGATATGGAAATATGTTTCCAATGTGTTCTCAGACTAATAACCACAAAGTGTGAACTCTATTTACAGCTACTTTCTTTCTGTCTTTGAATTCAGTTCTGGGCAATGTGTCTGAGAGCAACAGGAGCGCCTTTTGTTCCCCTGCTTTCTGCTCTCCAGCAGACAGTTGCAAAGCTTTGCATAGATTAGCCTCAGCTGTTTTAGTCTCCAAGGACAGACCATTGTGTGTGTGAATGAGGTGAACACTTTGATAGCTGCTACAGAGTGGTGTTGATAATAGTGTAAGCATGGGTCAGTGTGCTTCCACAGTTATGTGTTAAAGAGAGAAACGTGTCAGAAAGGCTTGTTTCATTGTGCAAAAAGTAACATTTTGATACCACAATTCATGTGACTTCATAGGAGATGTGCACTAAATGTTACTCCAAATGTCCTGATTTCACTGACGACCGTTTACATTTTGCATTTGTCGTCGCTGCATTTTCAGCTTGACACTGCAGCCTGAGACAAACCATCCATCCTTGACTTTTGCATCCATGTGATGACTCACCCCCTGTGATGATGTCACACCTCCCTCAGTTGCTATGGCAGTCGTCCTAGCAACCAGCGTCTGCGTTCCCTGTAGCAGAGACCGCAGCGACTCTGACGGTGAAGCTAAAGGGGTTAATATTGATGGCTGGGACTAATTACCCCCCCACCCCCCACCAAACAGCACTGAAGAGGCTCTGCGGATTTATTCAGATCTGCCGCCTGGTTTTCACTCAGACAGACTTTTTCTAAAATTAGAAAGTACTGTGAAAAAGAGAAAAGGCTGCAGCGTCACAACAAAACAACAAGTGCAACAGATACTCCCTGTGGTGAAGAACATGCAGCAGCGCTGTGTTTCTCACTGAGAGGAGTGAAAGGGTGAAATGGAGGAAAAACTCGACCCCATGGTATTCTCATTTATAACTGAGAAGACTTGAAGACATTGAATTAAAATGTGAGGTCATAAGTACGAGAGGTTAATGTTTATTTGCCTTGTCATTTATTTCCTATCTTTTTTTTTTTATTAAACCTGCGTGTATTACTTCCGATGCTTTTTGCTTTTTTATCTGATCTTATCTGTTCTTAATATTTTTCTAATTGCTTTGTTTTTTTTTCCTTTATTTCTTTATTTTGTTTGTTTGTTTATTTCTATATATTCTTCTGCTTGTTAATGCTTTTACTCTTTTTTTTCCAATCTTCTTCCCTGCTGCACTCTTTGCCTCTTTTGTCCTCTTGGCTTAACTCCATATTAACTGAATCTTCGTATCTTTTGTTGCCTATTTGCATTCTTGATTTGTTTGTTTGTGAAATGTGAAAGGTTTACACTATTAAAATTAAATAGTGTGTCTCATTTCAAAAAGTTTTTCTCCTTGCACCGAAAGAAAATCATCATTTGTTTGTTTCAATCCTGACAACACTAATGTTAGGACACTTTGAGTTACCTCATTATAGAAAGTATCTGACAACCTCAGCCAATGGTCCTCTTCACCTGGAGAGTTGGTGTTAACTATTGGTGTTAATTTACATGTAATGATATTGTGAGCATATAAGTATCGATGTAAAAAAAATGAGATATTCAAACATTTAATAAAAATAAAGAGTGCGTTGTGTCTGTCTCTGCAGGTTCTCACCTGTGTCCTCGGAGTCTGGACTGTGCCCGAGCAGGACGACACTTCTGTCAGCTGGGCAGCTCGCACTGCGGACCCTGCCTCCATCCTCTGGTGGAGAACTCCCATGGGCGCTGTGTGGTGAAGAGGAGGCTCGTCGCGCATTCTGTTAAAGCTGTCAAAGGTAAGGGAGGACGCTTTGATTAACAATGTTTATAACATTTCAGAATAATCATTGCAATTTTTTTTTTTTTTTTGGCTCAATCATAAATATCACAAGTAGAAAATGTCACTGTACTCTCCCTCTGTCGCTCTCTCACACACACACACACACACACACACACACACACACACACACACACACACACACACACAGCATCTCCAACAAATACAAGCTAACTAGCAAGCTAACCAAATATTCCCTGTCAGTTGGAGGTCTGCAGATATTTTTTCTCTCGTTCATATCCTCGATGATGGGAGGGGGAGACACATCATACCTGCTGTTGCCATGGTGATTTCAGACGCTGCCTGCAGGCGTACTCGGACAATAAAAAAAGCCCTGAAGTTTGTGAATCGGATCATGGCTCTGCATTGACTGTCCGAGAGAATGCAGTCGTTAAAACCAAAATCTCAAACATGCCCGAAGTTCATTCGACCAATCAGGAGCAGCTGATCGAACCGTCATTGGCACACGTACCCTCCTGCACCCTGCACAACAAACGACTTTCGATCGAGCTGAAATCCGGCCCGAGGCTACAGCTCGGGGAAAGAAGCTGTTCCTCACAGTTTGTTAGTCCAGGTTTTAATGATGCAACACCTTTTCCGAGATGGTAGGGGTACAAACAAGCTGTCCTGGGTGTGTTGTTTATACAATCCGAGACAAGTCCTTTGGTTTTCTTTGGATTTACGGGGGAAATACCTTTTTAAACTTTAAATTATTGTTATTATTGTGAATGGAACAACTTAGTTCTATAACTAAACTTAAAATATGTATGTATGTGTATCTGGTTTGACGAGTTAAGAATCTAATTTCCCCCGTTCAGTCCTGCTGATTAAATGTTGAAGGAAGTCAGTAGCTAAAAAAAAAACTTTATTTAAATATGACAATAGGACCAAAAAAACACACAACCCCAAAATGAACAGAATGAGCAGAATGCTTGAAGTTACATGTGAGGAGTTATTCCTCTCTCAGATCGACTCTAAATGATCCGTTTTTCTGCCCCTCTGTTCTTCATCCACACATAAGTCATGTTCGTCAGGAAAGGTCGACTTCAGAGTCTCCCAGTGGGTGTAACTGGAGCTCCAGCCCCCGGTCAGCAGTGTGTCTCAGAGATAATGATCTCCTAATGATCTGCTGCCGTGTCGGCTCCTCCACTGATGTAGAAGAGTGAGAATGAGTTAATGAATGTAGGATGTGACGCCGCTGTGCCCCTGCGTCTAAAAACCAGAGAAGACGCAGCATCAAAGTCTCCAATAAGAAGACAGAATTACTGTGGTTAGAAGAGATAAAGCTTTACCACATCTTTGTCAGTCGGTGTTTGTCTATTTCATTCTGTCTGAAGACTTTATCACACGTGCACTGCTGAAAATGTCTAGAACCGATGTCAGGACCGACAGCCCCTAAGACCTTCCTGACTTGCCTGTTCACGTATGCACCTCACGGCGGGAGACTTTCACTATCTGGTGAAAGGTGGTGGATGTACTCACAGGATGTACAGAATCATCATCATGAGTGGAAAAGAACAAACTGGCAAGCAGAAAAGAGTATGAGGCAGCTTCACTATGTGCCAGCCAATCACAGACCGTGTGATGTACTGTTAACACTCCAGATGTGTTTTATAGAGTCTGTCTATCTGACTGACTGATTATCTGTCTCTCTGACTTACTGACTGACTGTCTGTCTATCTGACTGACTAATTATCTGTCTCTCTGACTTGCTGACTGACTGACTCGACTGACTGACTGACTGACTGACTGACTGACTTGCCCGTCTGACTGACTGACTGACTGACTGACTGACTGACTGACTGTCTGTCTGTCTGTCTGTCTGTCTATCTGACTGGCTGACTGAATGACTGACTCGTCTGACTGACTGATTGACTGACTGAATGACTGACTCGTCTGACTGACTGATTGACTGACTGAATGACTGACTCGTCTGACTGACTGACTGGCTGACTGACTGACTGACTGACTTGCCCGTCTGTCTGACTGACTGACTGGCTGACTGACTGACTGACTTGCCCGTCTGTCTGACTGACTGACTGATTGACTGACTGACTGTCTGTCTGACTGACTGACTGACTGATTGACTGACTGACTGTCTGTCTGACTGACTGACTGACTGACTGACTGACTTGCCCGTCTGACTGTCTGACTGACTGACTGATTGACTGATTGACTGACTGACTTGCCCGTCTGACTGACTGGCTGACTGACTGACTGACTTGCCCATCTGTCTGACTGACTGACTGATTGACTGACTGACTGACTGTCTGACTGACTTGCCCGTCTGTCTGTCTGACTGACTGACTGATTGACTGTCTGACTGGCTGACTGATTGACTGACTGACTGACTGTCTGACTGACTTGCCCGTCTGTCTGTCTGACTGACTGACTGACTGATTGACTGACTGACTTGCCCGTCTGTCTGACTGACTGACTGACTGATTGACTGACTGACTTGCCCGTCTGACTGACTGACTGACTGACTGACTGACTGACTGACTTGCCCGTCTGTCTGACTGACTGTCTGACTGACTGTCTGACTGACTGACCCACAGTGATTGAACACAGTCATGCTGTCGTTGTTCCTCTGGTTTCTCGTTGTCCTGTCACATTGTGTTTCTCTCTGACAGGTTTCTAAGACTACAGGGAAACTAACCAGACATGTTCCACTAAAATACCCTTGAAGTAAAAAAAACTAAGTTATGTAGGAGACTGACCATTACATGAGTTTCAAGTTGTCTCTGGTGACTTACGTATGTCATTAAAGTGAGAACATCCAGAATGTAAGACAGCACAGCGATCTGAAACTAGAACCAAACAGCCCCAAAATGACCAACTGGTTTCTGGTAAGGTTTAGTGTAACAATCAAAAAAACAGGACTAGCAGAAAGTGAAATTGAATTAAAGGACGAGAATGTTAAAATGATCTATTGTTTTTTTGTTTAAAAAAAAAAAAAATCCCATCTAATTGACAGAATTATTGAGTGGACAGTTAATAATGAATTAAAACTACAATCTGAAACATGTGGAAATACTGCACGTCGTTATCCATTTGGCTTCACTATGAAATGGACAAACATTTTAGTTGACTGATTCTATACTGTCTTTTCAAATAAAAGATTTAACGCAGTGGAAGATTTAAGAGAAAAAGATGAAAATTATTACTGATATTTCTAAACTTTCTCGTAAGATAAGAAGCGTGATTTTGCACAGATTTTGACTGCAACATTTACAGAAGGCTGCTTTCTGAAAAGATGATTTATTTATTTATTTTTTAAGTTATTTTGGGGGCCTTTTTGCCTTTATTTCAATAGGACAGCCAAAGAGAGAGAGAGTAAATGTGGGAAAGAGAGAGTTGGGGGATAACATGCAGCAAAGGGCCGAGGCTGGATATGAACCCAGCACGGCTGCGATGAGGACCATAGCCTCTGCAACACAACCGCCAGGCTAACGGTGCCCATGGTCAGAGTGATTTCAAAAAAACATTCGGGACAAATATAGCCCATGTATAACAAAAGGGGGAGAAAAAAAAAACAAGGCACAGGCACTGCAGGTTTATTTCCCCAAAAATGATTTACAGACGTATTTCCAGCAAACAATCGTCTGTTCCGCTTTCTTACATCCATCAAGGTTGTTTCTTCACATCAAATGTATCCTGATGGAGCCTGTTAGGGTTGAATATTTTGATGGAAAGGTTTAGTAAGTTAAATATCAGGACTGTCATTTGGTGGATTCAGCTCTAAAATTCCCTGAAATCTAAAAGATTATTACCCACTTACATGAGTCACACTTTCAGCGTCCCACTGGCCCACATCCTCAGCAGAGCATCAAATCTGGATTCATCTGGTGCCAGAGTGAGTCAGGACTCCATCTCCATGCTGTAAACATCTCTTATTTCACTCACATCACGGCTCTCTGATGCTCTGTCGCAGCCCGTGAGGCTTCATACAAACCATGTCCAGGCTTTCTTCATCTTCTCCTTGTCCTCTCTCTCTCTCTCTCTCTCTCTCTCTCTCTCTCTCTCTCCACTCTCTGTTGCCATAGTGACGCCTTACATTCATGATTCTGAAGACAACCCGCTCCACCAACCACATCGTCTCCTCTTTTCTTTTTCGCTGCCATCAGCCCACACTCTGAGCAGCCGGGCCTGACAGCAGAGCACAGAGCCAACCGCCCACACACATAACACACACATAACACACACACAACACACACACAACACACACACAAACACGCATCTTCTCGCCCACTCACTCTAAATAGTACTATGATGAATAAAAACACACACAGATAAACAGTATCTGACACATTTACACACGCATCCACTCGTTTACACACAGGAACGGACATATTCACCCCTCTGCACTTCAAAGATCAGCTCTACACACACACACACACACACACACACACACACACACACACACACACACACACACACACACACACACACACACACTGCGTCATTGGGACTTCCTCCCACACATTTGTGTTACGACCTCCCGGGCAGCATGGTGTTGCTCTGCAGTGCAGCAGGATCACAGCAGGTGGAGGGGACATGGACAGGCATAAAAAATCATGACTGCAGTCCTTTATTGTGCCACGAGGACGGTGTTTTCTCCTTAATTAAACCACTCACATAGCTTTTACCTGCCTGAAAGAAAAAGAGTTCTGAATTTTGATCTGATGCCTTTTAAGGAGAGTTAAAATTAAACATTTTAATTTAAGAATAAAAAGAAAACATATGTTTGTAAATATTAAATGAGACCTGGCTTAGAATTATTTTCTGTGAGACTATGGTGGTAAAATATTTTGCATCTTGAGGTTTGACCTGCGGGGTTATACATACATCAGGTAGGTGCAGGGCAATCAAAAAAACAATGCCTTCCTTGGGGCGCTGGTGGCGCAGTGGATGGTGCGCGCGCCCCATGTATTGAGGCTGTAGTCTCAGGCGGGCGGCCCGGGTTCACGTCCCACCTGTGGCTTCTTTCCCGCATGTCGTTCCCCACTCTCTCTCCCTGATTTCCGACTCTATCCACTGTCCTATCTCGCCATTAAAGGCACAAAAAGCCCAAAAATAAATCTTTTAAAAAAACAAAAATAAACAATGACTTCCTCATATCCGGCTCTCAGCCTGTCGTTCGGTTGACTGAAAGTTAGGCTGAGACAGGTTTTCCAACATGGCGGCTGATGTTGAGCCTCCGGAGCCCCCTGATGTAACAGATGGGTGACGTCACTCAGGCTTTCGTCTCATAACATTTACAGTCTATGGTTTTTGTTTTCTAGGAAAAGAAACGTAAAACTTGTATTTTGTTGGAGGAGGAAGTTGACTTCTATGTTACATAAGTGGTGTGTGTCTTTCACAGTATTGGTAGTAGTGTGGGTTGTTTCTTGTTTTTTTTGTTGCATATTTGAGCTCACTCGCTTTACATATATATCCCGCCTCTCTCTTCTTAACCTGTTTAATTAAGCCCAAAAAATCTAAAAATGATCTATTTTGAACCCCTAACAGATAGATTTGATACGCATTTATTAAATCCTCTCTGTCCTATTTTACTCTGCTCCCCGTCCCCTCCCTCTGTAACGGTAAATTTAGCAACTAATTCAACTTGTGCCAGTTGTTTTGTTAAGTCCCGTTTCCGTTGACCTGGTTTCTCTTCTTGAAATACGGCCTTCAGTTCACTCCTCAGTGGGTTTCTTGTGTGTTCTTCTTCCTCTCTGATAGACAGCACTTCCTGTTAGATCATTTGTTTTCAGTCCTCTGTCGCTCTGAATGAGAGTTTATAAGTCTGAAAAAATGACCCTGATGAGCGTTGTAACTTATATTTGGACTTTAAAGAGAAACTGTGTGTAAAAAATGGGAGTTGTGGATCTTTATCATGCATCGACAATCAAACTAAAAATGCTACTGACTGAGATGCATATCAGGAAACCAAACTATGGATCAAATCTAAAATGATCAGGATGACTCGGACTCTAATGTTGTCCTCCATCTCCTGCATTTTTCCTTCTCTTGATCTCCTCCAACTTTATTGACGGGCTGAGAATCGTAAAGGCTTCTTTCTGCTAAAATATAGATTTTTAAAGGCTCATTCAAACTGTTGTTTTGTGTTTCTAAAAACTCTTCAAACTTTCAGCAGGTTCTGTTCAAAATCCCAGAGTGATATTTGGTACGCACATTAACCTGTTTTATTTTCAAAACCAGAAGCCATGGAGCGTCTTCCTGTGTTTATTGATCGGTGTTTTCAGCAGCCTATAACAACAACAACAACAGGGACGACCTTATATGTGGTTTCTGAGAGTCCCCGTCCAGGAGAAACTGTTTTAGGAATGGTTTTGATTGACACAAAATAAGTTGTGTTTAGCCCGGTTGTAAATGTTGAAAATATAATATTATAATTTATATAATAATCTAAAATATAATTTAAACTGAAAGGTACTTTAGTTACCATGGTTGTCAATTCAATGCTTCTATACTTTTAATACACTTGTTTTTTAAATAATCAATGATACATACATATTATTTGAGTTAAATATGGATCACTCAGTGTGTCGGTGTGTGACTTTTTTTCTTTCTTTGTACTCCTTGTATTTTCTCTTGCATAAAGGAGGTGCAGTGCTGGATTCTGACCGGGTTATTCTTGTTTTGTGTCTCTGCAGGGAAGGTGACTACTTACCCTGAGCTGGACCAGGAGATCGACTTCCTCTCTGCCATCATCAGTGAGCAGAGAACTGAGTCCAGGCTGTCAGGTGACTGAAGAAGACCCTTCTCTACACCTTCTTTTGTTGTTACCACCACATCCCTGCTCATGTAATAACTTTTCATCCCTTATCTTAATCTAGCTCCACCCGTCCAGGATGTTCCGAAACCGGAATCCGACCAGCCCAGTGAAAGTGATCCTGCCAGAAACGGATCCACCACACAGCTGCCTACGAGTCCGAGCGCCGCGTTCACCAGCGTGCCCACTGCACCCCCAACAAACCACACCCCCGCTCTGCTCAGAGACCCCATCATCGTCCCTTACCCCCCCAACGACCATGTCTTCATCAGTAAGTCCCTCTGTGCTCTAAGACCATAACAGCCTTCATAATCCCCTGCAGAGTTTAAAGTGTGTAGTAAGATAGACGTCTATAAGTAAGCAGGAGTACATGTACTGTACACACTACATACACAAACATACGGGGAGGGATCAGCAAAGAGATTAGAAACTACCACTAGTTCCAAAATCCACACAAAATGAACTAAATTGACATTTTTTTCAATTCTACGGGTTTGCTTTCTTGCATGTAGCCCAATCTGGCAACAATCTGACATTGTTTAATTATTGAACTGTTATAAGGAGAACACCTTCTTGTGAATGGTTTAGGAGAATAACCAGGCCGATGTTTCCATGCATTAGATATGAAATCTGATAAATAATCCAGTAAATAGGTCAGAATATGTGTAAGTGTCTCTTTTATTTAATTATTTAAATCTGGTCTCTTTCCCTGTCCTGTTACTTCACCAACATTTGCACACGTTCACCCATATTTGTGGACAGCAGAGGTTCAGGCTCAGTTGGTAGAGTTGGTCGACTCTTAACCGGAAGGTTGGGGGTTCGATCCCCAGCTCCTACATGTCCCTTGGGCGAGACTCTTAACCCCAAGTTGGTCCCACTGCTTCATCAGTGGCACATGAATGAGTACTGTATGAATGGATTAGTTACTTCTGATGGTCACTTTACGTAGCAGCCTCTTCCATCAGTGTGTGAATGTGTAGGTGTGACCTGAGGTGTAAAAGTGCTTTGAGTTTTCAGAAGATCAGAAAAGTGTTTTACAAGCTCAAGTCCATTTACCATTGAGTGAAAAAGTTGTGTGAGGAGGAAAAAACAACTGCAGTCTTTGATTCTGTCTTCCTTTGATTCTGTCTTTTTTTGATTTTGGCATTTGGAAATTGAAGGTCAGACTTTAGCTGTGATGGAGGAACTGTGTGTCATACACAGACACACAAGTACACACATTGTTTCCCATTAAGAGAAGACTTTGGGGGGGGGGAAACATCCTGGGGAAAACCAGGATCTAATTTCATCTCAGTCCAGTAGGTATGAACATGATAAGTTCTCATTTCAATCGTGGAAATAAAAAACATTTAAGAGTTCAGCTTTGAAAAGAAAAAAAAAAACCTTTCTTAAAGAAGCATTGACACCACATGCTCTGAAATCTTGGGACTGACCTCACATCAAGTGCCGTGTTGAAGAGAACAGAACTCGTATGTTTCTGTGGATTAGTTCTGCCGCGCTACATTTCAGCTATCAATGCTGTTAGTTGTTGATCCTGCGGGATGTAACCAGAGGAACAAACCTGACTCCTGGTTATTTTCCGCAGCTCTTCTTTGAGCTCTTCACTCGGCTTCAGACACATCTGCAGAGCTTTCAGACCGGGATCATGTCTTCCTCTGATATCTATAAACCTGCTAAGTATTCTCTCCCGCTGACTGCCTGTATGTTTTTCTTCACAGTCATGAGCAGCGTCTTCATCGTGGCCGGTTCCATGGCTCTGCTCATCGCGGGGGCTTGTTGGGTCAGGTGAGAGAGAAATTCAACCCTGTCCTCATGACTGCATGACTCATCTTTCTTCTCTTTACAGGATTTGACAGTAAACTGTGCTGATTTACTGTTTTTTCTCTTATGACATTTAAATAATGAAATACAGAATCTGGAACACATGAGGCTTTTGTTGGAAGAGTTTCTGTACAAGGAAAATGATGCTGCCTTCAATGTATGCTAACAGAAAAGGATATGCATAATTCAACTCTTAAACCACATCTCACATGTAATTAAGGTTATCTTAATTTGCTATACTTATACCACATGTTTTAAAATGAAACAAATACTGAAAAAAGTACCAAAGCTTTAAGTAAATTTTGATACATCTCCACAATTCTAAAATTCTTTTAGCTTTGAAAAATTTTACCCAAAGCGACGTACATCAGAGAGAAAGAACAAAACAAGCAAGGAAGTGTTCTGTAATACATTCAGTCATACTTTAAACCAAAAGCCTGTGAGAGAGTCTGTTCAAATTCACAGGTTAGCAAGTACTGACGTTTCTCAAGTCCTTTTGGTGTCTCAAAAGTGTCGCTAAAGTTCTGTTCCTGACAATCAGATTTAGAGCAGAGGAGGTGAGGAGGTGACAGAAGAAGAGACGACAACAGAAACATTGTCAATGTTTTTTTGCAATTGAGACAGTGTTCAGGAGTTTGGCTGCAATTTTGGGAAATGAACAACAATAAATGACACTTAATTGGGTTCCCAGGACTTCTCTGCAAAAACAGTCATCGACATTGTTTGATTTTTACAAGTATGGTATCAAAGGTTAAAATCATGTTACTATGACAACCATAAAGATTTATATAAAGTACATACAACATAAATTCAGGTCTGCTCTGTTGGTTGTTAATATTTACTTGTAGAACTGGAAGCAGATAATTCCACTCTGTGTTGAGTATGCATGTTCTCTATGTGCATAAGTCTTACAACACAGAGAAAAATGCTCGGTTTCAAATTTGCTCTCCTTGTGACATCACAGTGGGATTCTGAGAGAGCTGGTTTATACAGGGTCACAAACCTCCTCTGCTGCTTGATTCATGTTATATTTTGACCACAGCACAGATGTTTCATTTAGACCACAGGGGACTGTTTGAAAAGTTGGAAAAGGGGGATAATATGTCCTCTTTAATGTTTGAAACGTTGCATATTAGACCTTTACATTTTCTTCAGAGTGATGGTCGGAGTTTTAAAATGTCCCACAGTGCTTTCCACCTAATCACAAAGACAAAATGCATTTACACCAGTTCCATTGTTATTTACACCAACTGTATCCAAGTCTAAAAAACTGTGTTTGTTTGTTTCAGATTGCAGAAAAGTGTGCGTCTCACTCAGAAGGTGGAGTACCCGGTGTACGGACTGATGAGACCTCAAACCTTTGACAACATGGTGAGTACAAAGTCTCTATAATGTTTCAAAGACATTTTGAAAATCACAGTTTAAAAACCCAAACAAGTGTTTACCAACTAATGATGTCATAAGTAGTGTTCCAATTTCTGCTTTTAAGGACTCCACCTGTAGAGAAAACTAGTGATAACTGTGGTTTAAAGCTGAAGTCATCAAGATGTCTTTTAATAAACATCAGTTTGGATGATCATGTGTAAACTCAAGTATCACAGAATGTTTATTTACGTGTTACCATGTAGTCTTCACAGCTTGGTCATGCTGCCCCCTAGTGGCCACTTAAATTATTACAGCTGCAAATTACATGTAAAGGTAATACAGAATACAGTACAATAATCTTGACTCCTCAAAATGTAAATTTCTCTTAAAATTGTAGTCATGTACTGAGATTATTTTTAGTAGGTGTACATATTGATTATTATCATTTACCACTTGTTATACTGACTTGTCTCTGATGATCCAACTACAGATCATTATGAGAACATTTAATATAAAACTATTTCTGTTTACCTGGATGTGGTTTACATTAAAGAGATACAAACCCAGGAATGCAGAGTATAGAGTTTAATCCTTAAGAATAAGATATTTCCTTTTTTTGTTAAAATAAAAATATGAAACAAATACGATTACAAACTGCACATTTAATTCAGATGATGAATAATTGAAATACAGCATGAAGTCAAGAGTTAACCAGAGATCTGGATACCTGGTTTACAGTGTAAAAATAAAGTCTTACTGGTTGACCCCTAGAGGGACAAACATGTGTCCCTCGAGCAGCCTGTGACGCACGGACACATGCTGCTCAAGTGAATGTCAGCTGAACAATGTGACCCTGATGTGGATGTTTACCCTCTGAGATTCTCACGCCCCCTCTGCCCCTCGCTGTGTTGCAGCCCGGGGACAAGAAGCTGGCCCACAGTGCTCAGATGTACCACTACCAGCACCAGAAGCAGCAGATGCTCTCCCTCGAGAAGTGAGTCATCCTCCGACATGCTCTTCTTTTTTTTTTGGGGGGGGGGGAGCACGTGTTACTGTCTTTTCGCTTCCTGCCCTCTCCGCCTCCTCACATCTCGAGGTATCCATTGAATAGTTCATGACTGTGTGTGTGTGTGTGTGTGTGTGTGTGTGTGTGACCTCTGCAGACAACGAGACGAGCCAAAAGTTCCTGACTCAGGAGCATCCACAGACGAGGAGAACGATGAAGGGGATTTCACGGTGTATGAGTGTCCTGGTCTGGCACCAGTGAGTAAAACCTGCAATCATCTGAACTCTTATTGACTTAAACTGTTGATATCATCAGGTCAGCAAACTCAGCTCCAATATATAAACTAGGACGTAATGATAGACTAATTCCAGATAACTTTATACTTTTATTTTAAATGAAGATAGTCATGCACCTTGAAGAAATGTATAAATGAATTATGCAAATTGCAAGTTTTCATTCATACCACCAAAACAAAAACACAGAAAACTGTCACCAATCAATCATCTCTTATTAAGCATTTTATCTACATTAAGCCACATGGCACACTTTTAAAGTTACCTGCATAAGTTCTGTTCATTCACTATCCACAGTTAAAACAAAGACAGACCAAAGCAGAGAAAACATATTGTTCCTAAGGAATAACAATGTTCCTCAGAGTTTTTTTTCCCCTCTCTGTCTCTCTGCAGACGGGGGAGATGGAAGTGAAGAACCCACTGTTTGACGACTCCACCCTTTACTTTCAGAGGTTCTCCAAATAAAACCCGGACACTCAGATGTTTCTCACTCTGAATGCAGGACTTGTGTGTGTGTAAACCAAATGTACACACACTGTACACATATAATCATGTGCTCGGTGTCCAGCCCGTATAACGGACACGATGAAGAGTGTGAGGTCCCTGTGAGCAGGAGGAAGGACGTTTAAAGAAAGTGTCACGGCTGCTTGAAGCACGACTGAATCTGGGACCAATGTCTCCCCTTCTACAGCCACATCCTCTGCTTTTTTTTAATGTCATTACTCCTTTTTTTTTTTTTTTTTTACTTTCTTTCTTCATCCCTTTTTTTTCGTTCACACTCTGTCAGGAACCAGACTCACAGTTTGAATATTCTGAGTATAGCAGTATTTATCAGTTCACTCACAGATGATCGTGAAAATCCACTTTTATCAATCAGTAAATCCTTTCTGCATTTGCTGCAGGCTTTGATTTTATTGAAGTATTTTTTAACAGAAATGTGTCTTTCTTTTTTTAAATCACGACCTCCGTGCAGCACCGTGATCTCTATCAGTATGTTATGTAGCCATCGTGTTCTCGGTCTATCTGTCCTCTATGCATGAATTGATGATGCTGTGTTATGAAGCCTGAGAGTCAATATGCATTTACGTACAAGTTTCTTGTGCAAACTTGCTATGATTATATATAAAGATATGAGTTGAATGATTTCAAAGGAATTTGAAACCTCTTTACGTGGAACTCTGAACCAGAGCGACTCCCTCCTGTATATATACGTTATCTGACTAACATGGCTTGTCCCCATGGTTACGCAAACTGTAAATAGCTGCTGACGTGTTGTACAGGAGCAGATGTTACCTCTCACTCAGTGTGTTTGTGAGTGCTGTGTCCAATATTCAAATGTTTGTTTCCTTATGGTAAATGATATATTTGCAGGGTTCCTACACTTGTGGAAATGACACGAGACGTTTCCCAAAGTAACGCTGTCCAGGTTAAAAACATATTTGATCTGTTATATTTGTGATTGTGCAGAATAGTTTTCAATGAACATGTACAAGTTTTGTAAATGAAAGGGAAAGCAGAGAGTATCCCAGCGACTTCTGAAGTCTCATTACAATGGTACAGTAAGTGTTTCAATCCCCTGAAGTCCTCAAAATGTAATATCTGTAAATGCAGGTATAAAATGTATCACAGGACAAAAACTCAACATGATGATAGAAAATATCTAAGATATAAGGAACTTAAAGGTCCAGTATCATACAAAATACACTTCACCATGTTTTTCACTAATGTGTCCCTAGTCTGTCTACAAACCCTCCAATAATGACAAAAGTCCATCCTCTCCGTCTTTTGCCTGCTCCACTTTTCAGAAAGTGTGTGCTCAAACAGGCTGTATGGAGATTTTCCCTTTGTGACATCACAAAGGGCAGTAGCCCCTCCCACAGCTAGGTGTTTGTTCTGCCTCATGAGTCTGCCTTCTCACTATAAACAATTGGGCATGGTTCAAGAAAGCGCAAGCCACATCAGCTTCCAAAAAGGGGCGTGGTCAGACACAACTCTTTTGCATTTAAAGCTACAGAAACAGAAACAGCCTGTTCTGAGCAGGGCTGCAATAGAGGGGTTTGTAGACATGATCAAATACAGGATCAGTGTTTTTTTTTCACAAGAAACTTCACAGACATGTTTTAGGGACCTCTGACTGAGACTTTTTTAAAACTTGTTGAAAAGGAGGATAATATATGACCTTTAACCTTTAATCTTGTCAATGGATGTTCTCTGCTTTCCCTTTACTAAAGCTGCTGATCTCACCTGGGCTGAATACTGTACACACACCTGGAGGTACACACTCTCTCTCTGTCAAGGTGCCCCGTAGCATAGATCACATGTTGTATTAATGACACACAGAGGATGATTCTTCAGCTCCCCTGGTGGATGTTTGTAACAGGAACCCTGGATCTAACCGTGGCCTCTCGCTGTCGTCTCTCAGGAAAGCCGCTCCGTGTGGCTCCTCTCTCCAGCTCGATCCCTTTCTCTCTCTGCCTCTCAGCTCGCCCACGAGCACGACGAACTGTACTTGACCTGCACACACCACACACACAGACGCACACACAGCCTCGAGTGTCTACATGTAAAAAAAAAAGAAAGTATTAACACTGGAGATGTTTAACTGTGTTGTGAAGACTGTTTTATTCTAAACTGCTGATGCTCAAAGAACAAAACGGAGGGCGGAGGTGGGTTTACAGGAAAGACTATTCTCATAATGTTGTTTGCCTTTTTTTTTTACATATCTCTGCTTTCTCTTCACTTAAGCTGAACACACACCAAGCAGGTTGTCTTGTTGAAAGAACTCTACCTAGACTATGTCCTCTCTTTATACCGACTGTTTTCAGACTACACCATGTATACATTAGAGAGATCTTCTTTACCGCCCTGTTTAGCATGCATGAGGATATACCAGAGCCAAAACAAAGGAAATAAATATTTATACAATCTCAAGTGAAACATACTTTGTGCAGGAGTCTTTTTTATGCAATGGTCTGCAATGCTCATGAAAAATATATGTATGTGTGGGTAGGCTATATGAAGAGTTCATTCACAAAAACAGAAGCACGCCCCTCTGTAATAAAATGTGCTGAGAGTATTAATTAACACTTTGAAAAGAGCGGTTTTCTGTTCCAATATCGGTTTTGGTTCAAAAACCCAATAAATCCTTTGTGAAACTGGGTCAATGCCACCCAATATCAGTTTAAGTGATATTACCTGGAGTAAACAATAAAGAAAAACGGAGTCAAAGGCAAGCCCTGGATTTCACAACACTTACGCCAGTTGAACCTCGTTGAGCAATACCTGTGGAAAGATATGCAGCACGTGATTTTTTTAAAATATGTAATTTAAAGATAAAAGATCAACTCTTTTGATCCCCCATTGGGGTAATTTGTTTTTAGGAAGAAAAATACAGTAATAGAATAATTATTTCTCACTACTGTGAGCATTAAAAATGTTACCTGCTAATTATTTTATTTGTAAAGTAAAGAGACCATGCTGTACAATATAGTAAACGTGAATGTTGCCGTTTGATGCATTGCACCAGAGTTAGCTTAAAGCTAATTTTCATCTGCAGAACTCACTACAACTGCATTACAGTTCTGAGCCAGGTGATGGCCTTCTTTACAACCTGTTTCTCACTTGGTCAGGCCTTCACATTAGCGCTTAGTGATTTTGTTGTTTATTCATCAGCTCATTTTTAAAGGTCTCAAAGCTGTAAACCAATTTGAATTGAAAAAATCTGTTAAACTGATGTGCAAAATTCACCCATTAAAAAAGCCTGTTTTTACAGCAGACATTAACATTGACCTGATTAGCTCATGTCTCAATCAGTACACATTGTATGGGGGGTGAATTTGATGATGAAACTTTTGTTTTGAGATTATGAAGGATAAGTGCATAGCTGACCTGATTGACAGGTGGGTGTGATGTAACAGGTTGTTAAGAGGCATGAGACCCGCCTCAGCTCCAGCTCTCAGTCTGTTGTTAGGTTGACTTAAAGTTAGGGTCAGACAGCATTTCCAGCATGGCGGCTGCCAATGCCAGTGTTGACAGGTGATCAGCTCAAGGTGACTGCCTGAAGTAGCTGGCAGGTGTCTCCTGATTTTACATCCAGCCTATCAGGTAGTTTTACTGTATATGACCTGAGCTCTGTGGTGTAGAACCCTCCAGTAACATGCATTGTGCATCATCAAGTATGTGATCACTAACTTTCATGATGTTTTCATGAGTTTATTGTGTGCGTGAACACAAGTTTAAAAATCAAAGATATTTCTGGAACAACTGTTTCTGCTAAGACAATGTGTTGAACTGTAATGATCACAACTGTTCTAGATCATTCTACAACAGGACAACAGCAAACAGTTACAGCCTGATACTGTCTTACAAATAACAGATAAGACAAAAAATACAAGTGTAGTTGATGTAAAAATGCCATGAAGGTTTATGTGACCGTCCAGTTTTTTATTTAGCCAGTTTTTTATTTTATTTTTTTTAAATCTATTTTTTAGTATCTATTTTTTTTGTACATTCTTAATTTTTATTTTTTTTTATTATTTAAATTGTACTGTGTTCACTTTTTGTCTGCAATCTTTGCTCTTTGCTGCTGTAACAATGTCAATTTCCCCGTTGTGGGATAAATAAAGGATTATCTTATCTTATCTTATCTTAAAAGAATGACAGAGAAAATAACTTTTTTTATCAATAACTCAGGAAAATAAATATCAGATCTCCCTGCACCGGCCTCTTTCAACTTTGATTGACAGCTTCGGTAACATGAAGCCAGCTGTTGGGCTCAGTGCCACGGTAAATTAGCTTTTAGTTAGTTTTATGTTTTATCTTCATTAAAGAGAGAGGCTGAGGAAGACGAGGGGATTTATTGTATTTTTAAAGCGAGCTTTAGCGGTGAGAGAGCTTGATCTGGAGGGGATCCTGAGCAGTACATGACATTTTGATTTTGACACGTTTTGATCAGTGTTATTTACATAAGGAATGAATAGGACTGATTCCTGCTGCATGCGTATCTTACTGCATTCACATAATGATGATTGCTGAAGATAACACACACATTAAACTGCATGAGACATCACACAAGAGCTCAGTTTACGATCAGGAGAGTTTTTATTATTTTATATCAAAAAGTATTTACAGATAGTTTCCTTCATATACACACAGAGAACATGGAGAACTTGACGTTGAGAACTTTTCTACATATATTAAATTAACAGTACAAATGCAGCGCTGGTGAACACGTATAAAAAATGAAAGTGTTTCTCTTCCTCTGATTGGTCCTCGGACTCTCACAGCTTGGACGTGGTCTTGGGACTCGATGAGCTCAGGGTGTTGGTCTGATGGGAGGCTGGCGTCGCGCTCACAGCTGCCTTCATCTTCTGACTGAATCAACATTTGACAGTGTTAGTAAAAAGCAGAGACGGGTCACAGCAGTACTTTCTTAGTTTACGGTGCTCAGCTCATCTTACTTGTTCCCCAGAATGAGTTTTCCTAGCGGTGACTCTGGGTTCACACATTTCTTCTTGT